TCTCAAAATTACATAGAGAAGCTATGGGAACTGCACGACCTACCTTAGCGCAAGAGGGATAAGGGAGGAAAACAAAGAGAAGACACCGTATTTTATGTGGCATTCACTAGTAGTGTATGCAGATGCATAGGTTAATTGATTGGTTTCAATCATCACTGAAACCTCTGGCCCAAGTCGACAGCGATCGCTCGCAGGCTTTGGAATGACACGGCTGTTAACTCTGCAGTCCTAAATTGAGCGTATCGTATCCTGGTTAGGTATAACTTGAATAAAATACGCATCGTGTGTGACGTGTTGTAAAAGGGGACTACGACAGCAACGACCACGAGTTAGCCTGGCTTAAAAAGCCTTTCTTTGAGAGACCTCTGAGAAACCATTAGAGATTCTTAGCCAACCCTTAAAGACAGCGAACGACCAAAAGCGAGTTGGGGACGTTATTCTGGCGACTGGGTTAAACTGGGTTGCATCTTATCTATGACGCGGACCCAATAAGATATTCTCGTTTCTTTTACCTTAAACAAAGTATAACTACAAGATAGCTAGGAAATTCTGACTTCTTTTCCCTTAAACAAAGCATAACTACAGGATTGCTTCAATTACTAAACGTATCGCACAACATGATGCTAGTGACCTTTACGATCTGGGCCATGGGACGTTATAAGAGCGTGGACGGACACTACGTATTTAGTCAAAACATAACAAATAACCTTATGGAAACAAAGAGATGCGTACCTCAATATCTTCTCTCCTACTGAACGGGTCATCCATTTCCCGGCTACTGCGAGAAGATGGCGAGTAGCTCAGATCCTGTAACGTTAAATCTCTCCCCTTATTTGGAAAGGAGGCTTTCGATTGCGCGAACTAGATTTTCCAGCCGAGTGCTCCAAAGATTTTAACCCGAGAAGCGGCGCGTGGTCATCGGAACAAATCGCATCAACTTAAACCAGTTGATCGTCAACCAATTACCGCCACCAGCTGATTAAATCCATCAAAGTTCCAAGCGAGAATTTCTCTTATTTTTTGGCTTGGCAGCTTATTCCGCCGTCTATCAGCGTTGGTGACCTCCGCGCATAGTAAAGATTGCAACATAATAGGCTCATAACATACACGGCGGCTTTGTGCCCCTTCGGCTGTTGTTATTCATACTAACCCATTGTCACTTGCGCAATGGGGTATGACTGACGTAAAAGAGTTTGAAAGGTCTGTAAGGTCATTTTGTTTCCTAGGAGAATGATTTTATTTTCCGTGGATTCCTAAGTCTTCCAGACAATATTTGCGCAATTTGTCTACTTTGTTTTGTGGTTGTAAAGAAGGAAGGAGATAGGTTGAAATGACCTAATCGATCAAAATTTTCCTTGGTTAGTACATTTTTTAGCCTGCGTCGCAGTAGTCTGCTACACAGCCGTTTTGTGACGACACTAAAAACGGCTGTGTAGCAGACTAGCGTCGCAGAGGCTATAACTGAATTTATATTGATTTTCCGGGAGAAACTCATCGCTTATTTGGGCTGTGTTGAAGCCCTTTCAGGGATGTGGGTGGGGGGCGGCGCACTTAATATATCTTGATACTAGGAGTCGATAACTGTGAGTACCTCCCGTAAAAAAAAACCACATGAAAACAGGCTATACAGGCTAGACCTGTTAAATCATTTGCGCCGGTTCCTCTTAACCAGGCGACAGCTTTGAAAAGAACTTACGCTCATAAAACTTTACAGTAATTTCGGGAAAACCACTTTTCCCTTTTCGAACAAAGCTTCGGAGAAAACGAAATCCGAAATAAACCGCATCCGCAAAGGAACAATGGGCCAAAAGAATAATGGGGACTGGGAACGAGATTAGTGGCGAGGCTACCAAGCATTAAATGGCGCGATTTTAAAGGAATCTACAGTTGGTTTATTTTCCCTTGGTCTTTTTGTTGTTTTCTTGGTTAACGATGGGTGAAACGAAAAATACTCAGCAGAAAAAGAAACGATGGAGAAAATCTATGGTATTTTTTACATGATTTGCTACTGATTTCGTCCCGTTGTTTATAAACTATTGACTGTTTTCATTTTGTCGTTTACCTGCATGGACTTTTTTCAAATGAATGCACTAGGTTAGGAGATGTTGCCCCAATCTAAAGGATGATCAGCGGGAACAAGAGAATATGGAGGTGCAATCCTGTGGGGAGCAGAATGGGAACTCTAGTAAGTTATGTTCCCTGTTGTGATTCCTTTAGCTTTCGTAATCTTTACTCGTGATGATGTCCTTGTTAGCCTGTGTACAGACGCCCCCCTCCCCTCAGAAAAAAGAGAGAGACGTCTGTGAATCGCCGTCGTTAATCGTGTTCCCGTTTCCCCGGAACATGGGAGAAAGCATCTGATTGGTTGTAATATTAATGCGATGATGTAAGTAATTTCCAGTGTTGGATTGGTGAATGAATCTCAGAAAAGATTCCCTGGCTCTCTGGAATAGGCATGTGAAGAAAGATTAGCCATTTTTGCAGCACCAGTTGCAGGTGCATTTGTCTCTGCTGGTGACTATTGTAAATAAAAGAGAAGAACATACAGAATTCAACACTTAATCAGAGATCTTAGATCTGAATATTGTGCATGGACATTACATGGAAGTTTTTTGGCTGGCCTGTGTACAGACGCTAGGGGGCGTCTGTACACAGGCGTTCTTTTACAGTTGATCATAACCCAGATTTTTGAGGACATCTCTTCATTTCGACAAAGATCTGTGGTCGACGCGTTGAAAATTAGACAAGAATACGCCGGAGAGATGTCCATCAAGCCATCCCTCACCACCATCGAAAGAAATGTCATTGGTTACATCACTGGTTATGTGTGTCGCAAAACAAGGGATGGACTTCAGCGGTCTAATAGTGAAAAGTTCTCAAGAGTCTTGTCAGTTTTGAATCAGAAGTTACCAAGCATGAAAACAGCACCTGCTGCAATGTCTTTCCCCAATTTAATGTTTCTGTCTCTTTCCAGAGGTGGCCTTTCTCTTGTGGATTATTCAATATTTAATTTCTTTTGCTATGTCAAAGTTTCAATCCGACCTTTTTTAAACTTAGCCAGATTTTATTGCAGCACTCAACGCTCTGACACTGAATTTTAGACCAGTTGATACACAATTTGCCTTTACTTAATCAAACCTGACCATTTACAGTAACACTTTCATCTGATGACAACAATGTGCTCGTTAAACTTTTCGTTTACCTTTACTTTTGAGTGAGGAAATGGTCGTACTTCAAAACATTCAAGGAGGAGAGAAAAGTGAAAGAAAAGAAATGCTCCGTGGGAAACAAAGACTTGCATGGCAAAGACAGTATTAGGAAAGCTCCCATGTCATCCAGTTCCAGCTCTAACACTGATAAATAATAATTTTCTGAATAATTTAGCTACAAGCAAACCAGTTTTCTAAATTTGATTTAAAGCAATAGAAAAGGTGTCATGGTGCCTGAAAAATAGCTTACAAGATCATGCAAAACAAAGAAAACATTTGTTTGCGGATAAATTCACTTCCCACGTGACTAAGTTTCCTATCCAGTCTTTCTATTATCCATGGAGATAGTAACTGCGTATGCGCTGTACAGGAGTCCAGAGTCGTGTTGGTCTGGCAGCAACTGTCAGAGGAAAAGCCAAAACAAACAATTTATGCAAATGTATACTGGAACAGGATTAACAACAGGGATTCACAAATGTTTCTATCCCCAATTTTTTTTAAGGGAGGGGGCATCTGTACACAGGCCATGTATTGGAAACAGGTCCAGGGTGCAAAGAAAATCATTTTTACAGCTAGCCCCAAAAGCTTTTTGACGAGCAGAATTCACTTCACCATTCTTCTGTTATTCGAATTCCTCAAAAAAATCACTTGCACGTCGGGCAAGTTAGAAACAGAATTTACTAGCCCGAAAGCAAAATCCACTAGCCCTGGGCTATCGGACACTACTTTCTTTGCACGCTGAGGTCAGACATGTAGTTCACACAACTCACATAGGACTTCATAACTTGTGAACCCTCTTGAAGCTTCATAACTAGAATACATCACTGTCTCGTAACTCCTCAGGAAACTCTGTTTTCTAACTAGGGTTGCATAGTATTACATTACCCAACTGAACATGCACCCCAGGATTGGAGATCGGACCCAGTTGTTTCAAAGAATATAAAAAAGTGGGAAGTCGTAAAAAAATCACCCCAATAATCAGTTGCATTTCCTTACGAGATGTGTCAACTATAGTGACTCAAGAGTGCTTTGAAAGGAAAAATTTTGGACTTTTGGATAAGTGTCATGAAATAATCTTCATTGCTCCAGGGATGGCAAATCACAGATAACTGCTCCTTTAACAAATTTATTTTTACAGTATGGAACCCATGACAGTACCAACAGTAACCAGGTGCTCATATAAGGCTGTACCCTAATGTACAAAATCCTCAATGATCAGTCAGCTCCCATCTGAGAAACTCCTGTGAAAAACCCAATGATTGTAACATCAACTATAATCTTAGGAATCTTGAAACTGATCTAGCACTTCCAACGCCAAAAACTAATTTCCTCAAACATATTTTTAAGTATAGTAGTGCAATGCTTTGGAACAATCATTCTTACAAGGCAAAAACAGCACAATCACTTTCCAAATTTAAAAGCAAACTTGCCTCTTTGCCTTCTGCTGGATTACATTATTCTCCAAAAATTCTGGCTCACCAACATATATAATAATGATTGTAAAATTAGCTGCATTGTGTAATTCGTTACATAATTAATAACAAAATTTAATAGAGAATAATAATTATACTCTATTAATTGTTTTACAACTTATTATTCTCTATTAAATTTTGTAACATTTTGCATTCTGATAGAGAACACCATGTTGCTTTTTTTTTTTGTAATATTTGTTTGTCTATGCCCCACCTGGAAATCAGCTTTTGTTGTGTGTGGCTAGCGTAACTAAATACATTAATTTTGTTGTTGTTGTTACTTCATGACTGCTTAACGCAAGGACTATAATATTTCTTTACAGCTGGATCTGAGACATCTGCCTCTGTCACACTAATGGCAAACAATAGAGCTCTGGCAGCAGCATTAGGTACAATAATTATTACTTATGTTAGGAGGAGAAGACAGAGTGGCCAAATAGTTGGAGCGCTGGGCTTGAAATTTGTGAGGCCCCAATTCAAGTCCCGCCCTTACCACAGGCTGGATTTCTTCTTGGTAGTCCTAAAATCACATCGTTGGCCAACTGGTTTGCGTCCTACCAGTTGGGATTTTTTTTGACCATTTTATGTTCCATTGTGTGTTTTATAATCCCTGAAAAGCCCCATGAGGGTAGGCTCGATTTCCTCCACTATCTCATTTTCCGAACAGCGGCTGGTAATTGAGCCTACATGAGGGGAGAGGTTATTAAAGTATTTTCTTCTTCTTCTTCTTCTTCTTCTTCTTCTTCTTCTTCTTCTTCTTCTTATTATTATTATTATTATTATTATTATTATTATTATTCCAATTTTGTTTGCTAGTTGTATTTTGTAGTAAATTTTAGAGGAATTACCATCTTTTGACAAAATGGATAGCACAGTTTAAGGTATTCAATAATTAATATTGTTAGTACTTCTTGTTTTGGTAATATAGCTGTAAATGCTAATCTTTTTTCAGCGGAGGCACAGCAACAAGTAAGATCCCTGCACCAAGAAAACATCAATCTGAAAAAGCAAATTTGTGACAACCATCTTAATTTTGTTGAGAAAAGCAGCAAACTAGAGAAACAAGTGAAATCTGTTGAATACCTCTCAAAAGAAGCTCAGGTAAGATTAAGGTCTGCTGTGTTTTCCTTGGGCAAGTACATGTACCCTTGCTGTAATAAACCTTCTGCTCATGTTTTCACCATAATATTAGATGGAGGCATTAGGTTGAGTAGGGAAAGCTGGAAAGTTGGTTGGAGAGTTGGTTTTTCTATTTTGCTTGAAGGTGTTAATGTGCTAAGAGTATACTGGTGCTGATGCTCCCCAAATTTAGAACCCCATCCCCCACAGCAAAACTTGCGAATAAGTGCCCTCCCTCCCTTGTCTTCACTTTCCTAAATAAGTTAAGTATATCCTCTTTCTTCTCTCACTTTTATAATAAAATTATTATTATTGTTTTTTACACTTTGGCTATACTTGCATCGCAGTACAGGAGAACAGTGTCTTCTTCACTGAGCAGGGGGGAAAGAATGTCAGTTTTACAGCTTGTTTTTGAGCAAGCTGTAGCTAGCATGTACCAGCTCAAGTGTCATTTTAACTACAAGCCAGAAATAATTCTTTCAAGACCAGATTAGTTACTAATCTCCTGCAATTTGAATTCCCCCAAAAAACTTCACTTTCCCCATCGGGCAAGTTATAAAGAACAGAATCCACTAGGTCAATAGCAAAAACCACTGGCCCTGAGCTATCAGACATGACTTTCTCTGAATGCTGCTGAGTTAGTTCTACATGCATAGTTGGTCTCTGTGTCCAAGATGGTTACGAACTTTAGTCTAAACTATCCTTTTAAGGGCCCATGTTCACCCAAGTGGCTTTGCACGCTTGTGTTTTTGTTTTGAAATGCCTTTTTTCAGTCTTTTGTCAAATTCAGTGTTTTGATTGGGCAGAGCGTTCACCTTTTTCACGTTTGGCCGAAGCGTGACTCTACACACACTGAAGATGGCAATTTTCAACTACGCGAAATCATTTTCCTGGAGTACAGGCATGCAAAGTTGCTTTGGTGAACATGGGCCTTTAACAATTGTAGTAATAAATGTTTCATATTGTTATAGGTTGTCTTCAGTAAGGTTTACAACCTGCTTAGTCAGTCCTCCGCATTTTATGTCCAAGGAACCAACGTTCTGTCAGATGCTGTAAATCTTGTCAGTTCTAGTCTGTCCAAGGTAGATGTAATGGACAATAGTGAGCAATATATGGAGCCACCGGAAGTAAACATTGCATGCACCACCCCTCCTCCTGATGAGCCAACAGAGATGGAATTTACAGCATCACAGTCTGTTGTTATTGAAACTTTTGACCCAGCCATGACTGGAGGTTTGTTAAATTTGCCTTTTTGGTAGTAGTTGTCCTCAAGAACATGAATACGTTATTAATTTTATTTATTGATTGTTCCTTTTTAGATCCACTAATTCAGTCAAAGCAACCAGATGTTGATGATGATGGAATGTCATTAGACATTATAACACAAGAACTTGCCACAAGACGTTCAAAGAGGAAAAGTTGCACGGGCGTCAGTTATGCTGAACCGGGTCTTCGCAAGTAAGGAATTTTTACTGTTAGTTTTTACTTTCATTTTGTACTGTTATTTCACTCTGATTTTCATAGTACGTACATTTCATACTGTACAATACATGCTTGTAAACTTAAAACATGGCAGCAGTTATTACAAACTAAACTTTGCAGTGAAACTACTCCTGGGACTTATGGTTCCACTTGAGGTTTGAACATTTTAACATTGTTTTTGTGGTTGATAAGAAACTAGAAAACCATGGGAAATTTTTGCTAATTTGGTAATATTATTTTTCACTGTTATCTGTGTTACTGTTAAATAGCAAACTGCGCAGAGGTGACCCATTTACAGACACCAAGTTATTTGGAGTAGAATTGGTGAAAGACTCTAGGAAAAGTAAGTCCACTTGAGTACTCACATACTAGCATGAGAGTAATGGACCAGGCTAATTTAGAGATACATGTACTGTACAATGTGTTAATGAGTTCTACAAGAATTTCACTGTGAATTCCAACTAAACCTTATTTTGAGACAATATTAGTCTGAAATGTCATCCATCTACACTGCCTACGCTGCAGCCTGTGGTGGGTACAATGGAGAGAGGCTCTCCCTTCGCCCTCCCCCGAACCCCCAGGATAAGGGGATGGAGACGGATGACTTTTGAGACTAGACCATACCAGCCATAAAAAAGTTGTGGATATGAGTATGTACCACTGTGAAGGGTAGGGTATTGAAGCTGTCTGAGGTAACGTGTAGAAATCGGGGACTGTTTTGTTCTAGAAAAGGCTATCATTAATTCTTTGAAAAATAATAACATTGGTCATTGAACAATATTATTATTTTTTAGAGTTTTGGTTTGTAGCCTAGTCTGGGAGTAGGTTGGGATTTTTGGTGCCTACTCTAGAAGAGGGGTTGCAAAATGCAGCTGAAAGTGATCAAAGGGTCACATGCTTTCAGTGGCTCACCCCAACCTAAAAATTTCCAGTGAAATACTAGGCTGCATTTTTCATTTCTGAGTTTGAGAAATATTTTAGCTACCCATGTCTCAATCCAACCTTGTATAGAGCTTTTTCACTCACATGGCCAGTATCTATGTAAATTTATTGGAACATAAGAAAAGAGTTCAACTCCTACAGGATTGGTTTGGGACACCAACATGGCTGCCATTTCATTATTTTGGGACACCAATATGGCTGCTGTGACGTCATTTGAACACACTCTATTGGTATATATAGTGTGTATATTAGTGAAAGTAATGAAAATTTTTTCCAATATTTTTTTTTACAGAAAAGAAAAATTTAAAGAGATCTGCTTCCTTACCAGGGATGAGTAACAATGTAAGTGCAGTAATATTAGGAATGATGATAAGGGCGATGGCAACAAGAATGTCAATAAAGTAATATATTTAGATTAACTAAACAACAACTTTGCATGTGTAGCACACTTGCTTTTTGTTTATTTCTCTGCCATCACTGCGTGGCTACAACTTGAAATTGCCTAATGTTACATGTAAACAAACAATGACAAATTTCTCTTTCTCTTTTTGGACTTGGATTTTTTTCTTAGGAATTTAACTCTTGGAGAGTTTGCTTACATTTGACAAAGTAAGCAAAATGGGATAATTGCTCTGGCGTTTAAAAAAACGTGAAGTCAGAAAAGCTGTAGCAAGTCAATACTTGTAGTTAATGGTTATTAAATAATAGGCTGCTGTTCCCTTTCACTAAGAGTGGCGCCTTAATTGGAGGGCAAGTTTATGTCTCTTGGTGATCCTAAAAGCCAAGACCAGTTGAAACCTCAGTACCCTGGGTGCCTTCGGCCAACACTGAAAATTGCCGCTGCATGCGAGAAAAACCTCTGGTACCCAGGGTAAAACCTCAGTCCCTGGTGGGTTCAACTGTTCTGAGCAGGTTCTTTTCGATGGAGATTGCAATGCCTGCCCCCACTACCCACTCCCCCTCCCCTACCCCAGTTGGGTGATGGCTTAATGTCCTATCCCCTTTAAAAAAAATCGGAGAAGTATGGGCAACAGAGTGTGAAGAGGTTTGGTGAGGTTAATTTAGGGTAAGGTAGACATCACATTTGACCAGTTGCAAAACCTTAAATTTCCCTAAATTGGTTTTGCAGAAAAAACGAGCTCCTCTGAACAACCTGACAAACATAATCAGAGAGGAAAATTGAATATTATACCTATCTACTTGGAACAGTGAAGTTGGCAAGTTCACGCTTGAACAAACAAGGGAGTAAGGTTTGTGAGTGAGCAGCAGAAGTAAACAAGAAATTAGCTTGCTTCTTAGAAAACTCCTCACATGTTCGCACCCTTTAGCCCACTTGCTTAACTGTCCAGCCAGAACATGCTAATTTAATGTGAGAGATTATAATTGAAAGTAATATAAAATGATATTTATGGAAAACATTTGGATGAAAGCATTTTTATAAATAATGTCCAGCTTATTTATTGCTATCTAGGCCAAAGATTTGTTGACTCTTGTAAAATAAATTATTTTAACGAAAACCTTGCTGTTTAAAAGAAATCTTGTGAGGCTCACGGATAAATTTTTGTCATTTAAACTTGCTGTGCGAAATAGGCAAGACGTATGAAATAAATGTTGTTGGTGGCATTTCAAAGATATGAAAGTGTTTTTTGATTTCCAGGTTATTTCATTTTTATGTCAAAGATTTGTCTTGCTGTTGTAGAACGCTCGTGACTGGAACTGTTAACAAAAACATCAATTTTAAATTTTGCACTTAGCGATTTTCTTATCGTATTCAAGCGAGAGTTGGGTAGTTCCTAACACACAATCGGCATGTGAGGGACGATTCGCTAAGTCTATTTTGGGGGGAACCAAGGTGAATTGATGAACGATTTTCATTCAGCTAACATATTCTTGCTTTCTCCCTTACTTCATTGCTCAACTTCTCCCTCATAGGCCCACAATTTCTTGATTCGCTATTTGGATGCGTTTCGCCTTCACTACATTGATTGCATTGATCTTACTCCGCCATGTCTTATATACCATGATGCTAGAAGTATGTCATAAGAAAGCGAATCCTTTTCCAGTCATCGCGGTCTTGTAAATCCACTATGCAACAAAATACAAACTACTAAAGAAACAGAACTTTATTAGAAGTTTTGTCGAACTAAACAAAAAATGGACTGCAACACATAGCTTTTTTACTAGTACAACTGTCCTTTTTCAATTACTTAATCTTGTTAGCATCTTTCTCTCTTTCTACACCAAGATGTGATATAAAGTTTTTCTTACACACAGCGAATTTCATCCGCGAACTGTTCGGAAAAAAAAAGCGAAATGATATTTACAAAAATATACTACAAGTTGCCCTTTCATTGACTTTTTCTTTACTTTGTGCGGTGTACTTTACTAGCAAATCATGGCAAACGCGTGCTTCGTTTAATTTAGCCAATCAGAGGTAAACCACGCGTGTGCCTGTTTTTTTTTTCCCCCGCGCTTGACGCACTGCTGTTTTCCCGCTTACTCCTTTCTCGTATCTTTTCTTTGAGCTCTGATTTGGTACGGATTGCCAGATCGATTCTTACTTTTCGTCATACAACACTCCTCAAAAAAGTATAACAACAACACTAATGCTACCGTATAACTGCCTGTTTTAGAAACTTATTCTGTTTAGCATGGAGCAAAAGCGATCACGAAATCGCTAGCCTGAGAAAAAGGATGAAATCTTACGATGCCACCACTGACTTCCCCGCGAAATGACGTCTGAGGAACGAGCGCAGAAATTCCATTCTGATGACGTATCCGCCACTACCCATATTAGATTGGTGCTTCTGATTGGTCGTGCCGCGACGGAAACTTGCTTCAGCCAATCGAAAGCAGTACCCAGTTCTGTGAAGTGACTCGTAATCAGTATGGAATTTCTGCGCTCTTTCCTCGGACGTCATTTCGCGGGGAAACCAGTGCTGAAGTCGCGAAATGCCGGCTGTTTTCTCAGTCTAGATAATCGCTTACACTGCATTGCCAAATAGTTACTTAGAATCTGTTTACAGCTTTTTCTCGCCCGGAAGGAAAGGGTTTTGTGCACACAGTGGCAGGGAACTAAGTGTATGATTAACGACTCGATGATGGGCCTCATCAGCTCGAATGACCAGAATGACATCACGCATTGTCGAGCCCTCCTAGAAAAAAGGTGGAGACGAAAAATCGTGAAAGATTGTAACGAGTTTGAAATAATTTAAATCGCACTCAGAGAAAAATTTTAGCGAAATGTTTAAAAATTGTTTTAGAAAAAAGTTTATTAATCTAATACTTCATAGCAAGCTTTAGAAGAAGAAGAATGTCCATAGGACAAATTATTTTCAAATTACTTTACCAAACAGAGAGAGTCGTATATTGAGTATTAGGGAGCTCAAGGTGATGTTACACGGGACGATTCCCAACGACTACTTTTTAGCGCAACACCGCGTTCCATTGATGGAACAGTGTTGCAACCATTTGAGACAATGTGGCAACTATGTTGCGACGCTGTATTGTGGTAAAATCGTCGTTGCGAATCGTCCCGTGTAATAAAAGGTGATGTTATACGGGACGATTCGCAACGACGATTTTTAGCGCAACACAGCGTTGCAATGTTGGAACAATGTTGTAACCATTCGACACAATGTCGCAACAATGTTGCAACGCTGTGTTGCGCTAAAAATCGTCGTTGCGAATCGTCTCGTGCAACAGCACCCTTAAGCAAAGACGACGGCGACGGCAACGAGAGCGGGAAAAAGCAATAGGACCATATTAGCAAAACAGAAAATTTGCACGTGCATCACGCATTTTTGTACATTTCTTTGCCGTCGTTGCACGAATACAACATGACAGTGCCTAATTTTACGTTTTGTCGTGGACAGGAACACAAGACAACAACTTTTTTTTCTTTTCTTGAACTTTGATACAGTCCTTTAGAGTTCAACTCGAAAAAGTTTGCCGACGTTTGATGAATGAGATGAGAATGAGATGGAATAAGCGCGATAAAGTTTAAGGCAGCGCGAATTCATTTTTTAAGTGACGTTTTCGTACCCGTCGCCGTCGCCGTCGCCGTCATCGTTGCTTAAGCTTCCTACTGTCAGAAATGTTGGCCGGATGACGGCGCCATGTCACGTGATAAAACGATTTTATTGCGCAAGACGCGGAAATACTGATTTAAAATGATTGCAACGAACTCAGCGACACATACCGGCAATTTCCAGTAGTTGACAGCAATCTTAGGGGCCAGTAGATTTTCCCACAAAGGCAACTTGCCGCTGTCAATACACTAAATGTAAAAGAAACAACATAATTTAACTCTTGGAGAGTTTGCTTACATTTGACAAAGTAAGCAAAATGGGATAATTGCTCTGGCGTTTAAAAAAACGTGAAGTCAGAAAAGCTGTAGCAAGTCAATACTTGTA